AACACTCCTAGTGGAAAGGATAAACAGAAATGTAGAAGTAGAGAAGATTTTGGCTTAAAAGTGATTAGGGAAGGGCTTTGCTCGTCTTCTGAATGAAACTCCTCTTGAAGTCTCCGTTTCTCTCTTTTTTTTCCTTTCTTTTCTCTCCTCCCTTGAACTAAACTAAACTCTGGTGACTCTTTTCAAAAATGGCTGAACTCAGGTATTTATAGGCATTGGAGAGATGCTTCAAGATGGCAGTCACCCAAACAGATCAATCAATGTATTTTGTTGCTCAATTGGACCAATAGGAGAGGGGAGAGATTTAAGGCGATTTAAGGACCATCCGGAAGCCACCACCACCATCCAGACGGTGGCAACTCTCTGGATTTTTTTGCTTGACAGCCTCCTTCTTTGACTTTGTTGAGTTATAAATACACTTGCCCTTTTCTCTATTTAGCCTCTGCACATCTATCCCCTTGAATTTTTGTAATTATGCTTGAAACCCTGTAAAATGTACAAACTACGCATTAACCCTAATACTTTATAAATTAATTGCTTTAAGCTAATTTACGCACACAATTAACCTTAAATCCTAATTCATTTATGCACTTTTTTGGGTTAATCACATACTATGTCAAAATATTGTACTAAAATACTACTGATGGAGTGTCCGATTCAATCTAAGACTGTAAAATTTTATTTATATCATATAAGGATCTGATAAGGATGTTTTGTTTATAAACCGAACTCTACACACTAGATTATTTACAATGTAAAATAAAAGATACTCATGCATATCATATACTTAATATAATGTAAACATTTTACTCACATAGATTCTCATATAAAATGAAGAACTTTTATAAAATAATAGACCGAGTTTCACTACAAAAGCAAGCTTTTAGTATACAACTTTATTAATTCTCCCACATATACACAAAGTCATGCTGCCATGCATCTAAGTCTCATTCCCTCCATATGACTGTCAAAATTCTTTGCTAGTAAGCTCCTCATGAAGGGATCTGCTAGGGATTTTGCTGACACAATCTTGTTGACTAGTACATCACTTCTTTCCATGATGTCTCTTATAAGGGGGTACTTACGCTCAATGTGTTTCTCCTTCTTATATGCTCGTGGCTGGTCTGAGTTAACAACTGCTATGTTATTGTCGCAACAAATTGTAATATCTGATCTTACCGAAGGTATTACTTCTAAATCTATTAGGAAGTTTATGATAAAACTATCACTTTGGTTGCCTCAAAGGTTGCCAATGTATTCGACCTTCATAGTGAAATCAACAATACAATATTGCTTTATACTCCTCCAAGTTATGTCTCCACCTCCTAGATTGGCAGTCGGCTTGGATCTGGTGGAGTCAACATGGGGTAGGAAGTAATGGTGCTACCAATGAGAGAGAGAGAGAGAGAGAGAAAGGGAGAGAAAAGCCTTTGTAAGAGGTAGAATTTGGTTATGGGGGTTGGCAGTTGGCAGTTGCCGTGGTGGGTGGCGTCTACATTGGCATTGAGGTGGAGAAGTGTTTTAGAAGAGAGACCTGATGAGGAGATTTTGTTTATATAGTTATATTCAGTATATATATACTAGCAGTTGTCCGTGCCTGAAGGCACTATCTACTAAATGAAAAAATTAATAGCAGTTGCCTGCCCATATTTGAAGATGTTGTATAACACAAAAAGTTATCTTTCAATGTAGACTCTACAATGCAAAATTTAAATAAACCAAGATATTTGGGTATAATTAATCTTTAGATATCAAATGACAAAAGTCAAAAAAATTTTAAAAGAAAAGAGAATGCTAACCTAAACCCACATCTAAAATTTCAAATAAACTATGCTTGCTCAAAAGCAATGCGGCAAACTAATATGGTACATTTTGTTTTTCCAATGCTTGAAAACTTGAATATAGTGCAAAAAATAAACCTAACTGTTGATGGCAATTGTTTCCAACGAAAAATTTTGGAATTTGATTTTGGTAGGGTGCTATGAGGTGAGTGCTTTTTAGCTCAAACCCATGGGCTAGTCTATGAATGAAGTTTCTCTTATATCCCATGTCACACCCTACCTCAGATATAGTATGCATATAATCTATTTCAAGAGAGTGGACCCTTTTTACCAACCAACAACCTATCAGCCTGAGTAAGATAGTAAATATTTCATAGCATAGACAATAACAGATATACTCACATTGCCCATTTACACAAGGTTAAAATCCATACATCTACGTTAAAACCTTATGATCAACATACATTAACTTGACATCTGATAATAATACGAATTTACAAGACCAAACATTTACAAAATTAGACAACATGTCTCAACTTTAATGTCCCTGACTCTCTAGGACTCAGCAGTGGACTTCAATCTTCTCCCAATTCCCTAAAAAACACAAACTGTGGGGGTGGGGGGAGGGGGGTGAGCACAACACGCTCAATGAATGTACATTTTCATTTTAGAGATAATAAGAAAAGCATACTTCATAAACTAGCATTTAACACGCTCAATGAATGTACATTTTCAACAGATAAAAATAACAAACCATCACACACATTACTTTCACATATTCATACTTACTTTCCACTAAGGCCATAACTTAGCCATTTAGGCTATATTTGGCATCTAGGCACAATTCACCACTAAGTCTTAATAACGCCATTAAGGCCAAATAATCCCACTAAGGCCAAACAATTGTCATTCATGGACTATGCTAGCCAATAGGCTCTCTACACATCAATAAGTCTTGAAGCCTTCACATAATCATTGTAATCAATTAACTCACCGTACATTTGATATCAACAATTGGTATTAGCTATAGCGACTAAAAATCACTATCTTAAAGCCACATTCCATTCAAAGATCAATAATCTTCACACACATACATAATAAAACATAGGAGTATTTTAATTATTGCCCATCACATGAAAAAGCAGACTCACCTTGGGTTAAATTTCAATGCGGACTCAATCCTTTTATGTCGTCTTAGGTGAATCCGACACTGAAGTCATTGTCTTTGCGCCTAACACATATCACCGTAGATCTCATAAATGTCATTTACAAACATATGATATCACACTACACATGAATGAATATTTAATCAAATTTATCCCAGTACTTTCTTAACACCCCTTTCATTTACTATCATGTATCAATTAGGTTTCATGAGGTGTTAATAGATAAATAAAACAAATTACAATTAATTCAAACCCATTAAGATTCATAAAAAAGATTTGAAGTTGAATAAATGACGAATCATAGATGATACAACATAAATAGTGGAAGTTCATGTTCCTACCAGTAGATCAATGGAAGTCCTACAGGTAGACCATCTCACAAACTATTGTTCTTTGGTAGTTCACCTCTTTTTACCTGCAGAAGCCTGTCAGAGTTGCATATTACCGATAGATATTGCCTGATGATATGATTGATTGAGCATTTTTATCATTCACAATGGTGTGGCTAGTTGTTATTGCCTTTGGTTAGATCACCATGAGAGATTGAGAGTTAATCATAAAATTGACAAATCCTTAATGGTAGTCCTCATGGTTTATAGGATTATTCTTGTATAAAAGGGGTTCTCAAATTTATTTTTCAGTTGGTCTTTTAGACAAGGTAATTAAGGTAGAATTATGTTATAAATTGATGTTTGTTTAAGCAAATTGAAATTAACTTATTCACCCCTCTCTAGGTAGTGTCGTAACCTCACGTGCATAATCGCGAAGAATTATCTATTCTGCATAAAGGTAACATTAATCCTTACAATTGGTATTAGAACCAATCTCCCTTAGAATTGATTTAGGCACTGTGTAGACATACATTGCATATTTGATTTAGGCACTGTGTATAAAGATCGATCACATGACCACTCCTCTTCGATGGATCTAATTATGCATATTGGAAGGCACAAATGAGAGCTTTCCTAAAATTATTAGGTAAGTGTGTTTAGTTGTCGGTGTTGGAAGGTTGGACCCCTCCCACAGTGACGATTACCAAGGGGATAGACACGTTGACTTGGCCAAAACCCCTAAGCACATGGACAAAAAATGAATATGGATGTGTAGGGTGGAATTCTAAAGGCCTGAATGCAATTTTCAATGCCATCTCACCAAATGAGCTCTGGAGGACCTCCAATTGTGAGGCTTTCAAGGAGGCATGGGATATTATCGAGGTCTCTCACGAAGGAACAACCTTAGTGAAGGTGTCTCGGCTCCAAAGGTACGCCACCCAATTTGAGACCTTAAGGATGTTAGAGGATAAGATCTTGAGTGACGTCGATGCTAAAAATTCTGACATTGTCAACTCTTCTTTTTCCCTTCGGTTCAAATATGAGTACTTCACGCTAAAATGGAAGATATTGATATCTCTATTAAAGAGGTTTCAAGCTAAGGTGACGGCCTGAAAAACCAAAGTTGATTTGGGTAAGTTTTCAAGTGAAGACCTAGTTAGGTCGATCTTGACCTTCGAGATGAATCTCCTTCAACTCAAGAAATCAAAGCGTGTGGCATTCAGTTTCTATTCGAGATAAAGGAGATAAATCCAAGTCACCTCACTTGGGAAAGGAGGAAGTAGCCTGTCTTACGACAAAGTTCAAAAGGTATTTCAAAGTGAGTCCTATAGGTCGAAAGGAAAGTTGAGTTGACAAAAAACTCCTAAGGAGGGAAGTGAGAAATGGGGTAGAACTTCTTAACAAGATGCTGAGAAGAAAGGAAAAGACCTCCAATGCTTTGAGTGTTAAGGTTTTAGACACATGGCTGCAACATGCCCAAGTAGAAACAAAAATGATTCGCCCAAAGATAAAAGGAGGGAAATGAAGGCCAAGTTGAAAGAGAGTGAAAGTAAGTCCAACTTGAGTGAGGACTCCTCTTCTCAAGAAGATGAAGAGAATTTTATGGCGTTTGTTGGTTTATACTTCACCCATCTAGAGAAACTTTGAAGAATGAAGGTGGAGAGAGAACAAGTCCTTCCACGGAAGTAGAAGACTTGGATGATGAGGTTCATCTCCTAAAGTGAAGATGATAATGAAAGCATTAAGGATATTCAACAAGCTTATGATCAATTAGTTGAAGAATTCCTCAAGGAGAATAAGAGAGTGCATGCATTGAGCGTGAGGCTCAAAATGAGTGAAGATGAAAAGCAAGCACTCTACATAGACTTAGTTAAGTCAAAAGATCATTATTATGGGCTTGAAGAGGACATTAAGTCTTTAAAGGACAAAGTGAGCTTCCTAGAGAGTGAATGTCATGGGCTTGTCGAGTCTAAGAAGAGTCTAGAGTTTAAGTTGATAAAACTTGATAGAGGCTTTCATGAATCACAAGAGTTTTCTGAAAAATGTTGTCTATAGGGAAGAGTGTGGATGACAAGCATGATTTAGGCTACACCAATAAACACGCCACCTTCACCCTATCCAAGATCGTGTTTTTGAAGGCAAACCCCAACCCACTCTTACCGAATTCATTCTATTTAATTGTTCACCCCCACATGTGAAAACAAGTCCCTTGAAGGCTAAATTTGGTCAGGGTAAGAACTTAAAGAAGCTGGTTACCAAAAAATATGTTTGTTTCACATGTGGAGAACATGGTCACTTTGTCATGCATTGCATGCATAATAAGGATTTCATGTCTAAAAAGCTCACTCCCCTAGCCAACCAATCTAAAGTCTTAAATGATCAAGTCATGCATTGTAAAACTCAGGTAAATTTGAATTATTATGAAAAAGGGCAAAATGGTAATTAGCTGCTACGTTATAGGTTAAAAACCTAAATTTTTATAGAACTCGGATGACAAAACGAACCTCACTATTGGATTCGTCTCACAAAATCTAGTTACCTAATCAATTTTCATTGAATTCTGAGATAGTTGAATTTTTCGCGTTTACGAGGTGATTGGGTGTCGCATGACCAAAATAAACGAGACCTGGAATTAAATTTCAAAAATTAAAAATAATCTAAATTTAGTTCAAATAAAAATATTTTGAACTTAAATCGTCGGGATGAAATCGGACCCGGGAATGGAGGACGTGTGTGGCGCAATGAGGGCCAAGTGTTTGGAGAGTATAAAGAGAGGAGGAAATCAGATTTTCTCCCCATTTCTTAGCTGGATTTTTTGGAGAAGGAAGAGAGGGAAAAAAGAGAGTTCTCCAACTTTTCTCTACGATCTACGGCCCTACGTTCATCGAATCAACTCGGGCCAAATATCAAAGTTCATCTACACGACGAGAGCTATGCCTACGTACCAAAAAGCACGAATTTTGACAAAGTTCAAAAGACAGGATCTTGGAGAGTCAAGGGTTAGAGCTTGATTTGGGTATTTTGGAGCTTTATACTATTTTTTTTACGCTTCAAGAGGCAAAGTTATTTTCATAATTAGGTTTTTTTTCAACATATGGTTGATATATGAAATGGGTAGGGCGTTAAAGATGTAATCTCATGTGTAACACATACCTATGGTATTTGAAATGTGGGAAATGAGTATTAATTAAGAATTGCTAAAATCAATTATAACATGAATTGGGTATGTAGAAATTACTTGTTTGTGATTTCTTGAGATATGTGATAAAATTGGGCATATTATGCGTTTACATGATTTGGTGCCTTGAAAGTGTTTGATGAAAATGCCTATGTGGATTAAGTGTGTTATTTGCATTGATTATGTTATAATATGCTTGGGAGTTGATGTTTGTATATGTATTATGATATATTGACATCGAAGTTATTGATGGTAGTTATATGCTTATAATGTAATTTAACATGAAAAATGTTGATGGGTATTGAAGTTGTTCATAATATGCACATGACATATTGAACTTGATGTAGAAATTGCACTTGTACATTTACATTTGCATAAGCACGAAAAATATCACATTCGTGGGCATTGACATGAGTGTGGGTGTGTGTGCATGTTGATTGGATCAAACACCATTCTTGGTGGTTCATAAGTGGATTCGAAAAGGTTAGACCTAGGTCCGGTAAAGTTGTATGGATGCATGAAAAAAAAAACTTGTGTCGGGTATAGCAAGTAAGGTTAGATTCTCCATCGCGTGCAAGACTCGATTACTGGTTTATACATTTTTGCCGGTAAAAGTCCAAAAAAGTGTATCGGTATGCAAAACTTGCGGTGAGACACCAAAATTCATCTACCCAACAAAGATACATGGTTTATTTTTAAAAATTTCATTAGATGTGTAACATCAATGGCAAGAGTTTGGAATGTCCGGATTCATACACATGACATTGCATGGGTTATGGGAGCCGATAAAAGCTTGGATTAAGTTACATGTGTGAGTCTCATATCATATCATGACATGACATAGAGGATTCCATTATTGAATTGCATACTCTTGAATGGAGTAATTGTTACTTGTGATTTTCATATGAACATTTCATATGCATCTAGGTTAGAGAGTAGTTTTTTAGGAGATATCTTATTGAGCGTGACTTATCCTTTATGGGGACAACATTTCAGGTGCGGCACATGCGCTGGTGGACGGCTCTTGTTCGGGCCCTCATTGATGAAGAAAAGCCGAAATGTGGCTTTTAAATCATATTTTGTAAATTTAATATATATTTTAGGTTTTGGGCATGTAATGTAATGTAAGGGATTGTAATCAAACTCGTATGAACTATATTTGTTTAAAATTGATATTATGAGTTTGGGATGATGTTATGCTGGAATGGGTTGGAATTAGAAAAAGGATGGAATCGGAGGAAGACTGGAAAGACCTACTGCTAGAACGATGAATTCTTCTACTGATAGAGCATTTCTAATAGATTTTTTCTACTGGTAAAACGCTGAGTTTGTCGGTAGAATACTTTCAGTGAGTTTTTCTACCGGTAGAACACTGATAAACCAATAGATAGAATATTTCCAGTAGGCTCTTTCTACCAGTAGAACATATACATTTTCTACCGGTAGGTTTTCTTCAAACTTCAAAATATAAAATGCTTTTACTATGCTTCCGGGCCTAGAGTACTTTTACTTCAAGAAGATAAATGGTGTTATGTTAAGAGTAAATTAATGTATATTAGACCTCAGATGGGTCACGTGATGGAAAGGTGCACAAGTTATGTGTTTGTGAGTGCCACGTACAAGGGAGACTCCATCCAAACTCTATGTTATTTATGATCCCAGTAAAGGGGATGTCATTGCCGTGTTGTTGGGTTATGCAATATTCACGGGTACTTCTGTGGGTTGATGGATGATCAACGGGTTGACAAAAGACCCCTAATTTTAGGGTAGTCCCGTGCATCTTACAAAGCTTTTGGATAGGTCATGTGAGTCCAAGCCTAGTTTTCCTTTACCACAAAGCACCTTTTACTCCTAGGGTTAAAGTTGACTTAACTAAACTTTGAGAGAAGAGAATAAGTCCACCACCCATGCCCCGAGCTATTCCTAGAGATAAGGAAAAACAAGTGTGGGCTAGTCGAGAGAACTGAGAGAGGCTTACCATCTCAATCCAATTGCAAACACATGAGTGTTACCAAGGAGGTTGAGTCATCTAAGAAGTAGGTAAGGCTAGTGTATGGACCGTGGTGCACCATTTAAGCATTGCATCAAACACCACAAGATCATACATTGTGAATATTTGTATTTTTCTTTGTTTTCATAAATGAAAACCACAAAACAATTAAAAATTAGAAATTCAAAAAGATTTTTGATGTCTAGTTGGACATTCATTTTAGGATTTATTGTAATTGATTTGTTTTCCTGGTTAAGTGCATATTTATACATATTTTTCAATTTTTATGTTATTAAGAAAAATACAAAAAATTGAAAAAAAAAAAGGCAAAAAGATTTGTTTCTATATGTTTTTCGTTGTTTATCATAGAAATCATACTTTGATTTGATTTATAGTGTATCCATCATTAATCCAAAAATATTTTTGATGTCTAGTTGGACAATCATTTTAGAATTTATTGTAATTGCTTTATTTTCTTTTTTATTTGCATGTTCATGCATATTTTTTTACTTTAATGCTATTAAGAAAATACATAAACATTTAAAAAAAATAAAAAAGATTTTCTTTTGTTTGTTTTTCGTTGTTTATTATAGTAATCACAATTTGATTTGATTTAAAGTGTATCCATCATTAATTCAAAGTTGATTGTATTGATATGAGAGATATTAGGGAATAGAGAACTTGATGGTTATAAGTCTTAGTGCTTTAACCTTGAATTAATTCTCTTTTTTCCCAGCATGCTAGGATTATGTGTTATTTGTGAAAATTTAAAAACCAAGTACACGCCAGTCATTCACCTTCATACTTAAGGGTCCAACAAGCTTCATTGATTAATGACCTTATATGACTCTAAGTTTTGGTGATAAGTGAGCACATGGCTAAAGGTTAGTGAAGCCCCATATCCCTTAAAAAATGTTAGGAGCTAATTGTGAAAAAATAGTCCAATGTGGTCAAATTCAAAAAAAGTGAGGTATGAAATAAATGAAAAGTATCAATTGCACTTGAATTGTTGAGAATACTATATGCTTAATGTCATTGCTCACATGTATTGGTCAAAGAGCTACACTACAAATGCTTAGAAGCAAAACATTTAAAGTATAGAATTCACAATCTTGCTAATTGAAGCCATATGAGTAGAAAGGGTGCAAAAATATAGGAGACAATTAAAAAATAATATAAAATATACATCTAGAATACTCACTAACTGGTTCTATTTTTACTTAAATGATGCATTTGAAATTTATGTAGGCTTTATTAATCCATTAATATGGACATATTTTTAATAGTGCTGGACTTTGGTTTCACATATGTCACACTTGAATTGATCAAATATGCAATATTCAAACATGAGTGAATAAAACTAAACTAAGTGAGAGGACATTGCTCTAAGGAGTATGAAAATTAAGTTCTATATTCATGAATATTCCTTAAAGTAATGTGCTTGATGATGAAATAAGGATGCATATTCTATATTAAAATTATGTGTGATTTTCGTGATTAATGACATCGTGAAGTCACCGGATGAATTGTCAAGTTAGATAGATCAGATCCAGACGCAGCATTGCTCCGCGAAGATACGGAATCGACCCACTCCTACCCACCCCAAGGCACCATAGCATGTTGGGAATAAGGGGGACATACTGGATGCAACCATTCCCTTGGTTATGGGTTGTGTCGCCCTGCCTTTCGATCGATACACAATTGAGGAGGTCGATCACGAACGCTGTAGGTGTGGGAACAACCCTGGTCAGGGAAGGCTAAGATAGTGCCTCACATATGGCTAGCAAGAAGGCGCTTATGCCATTTAGATCCTTATCTCATCCATGCATGAGCATATAGTTGCATTTAGCTTGTACATAAAATCATGCAAGTTTTTTAGGCTTGGAG